AACATGGAATCTTACTTTTTTCGAGTAATTAAAGTGTAAATTTTAATAAATGGCTCAAAATATTTCATGATGTAAAAAAAAATTTTTCAAATTCAAGTTTTTTCGTTTTTTGCGTTTCCTGTGAAAATTTGCCATAGTAATGTATCATTTTTTACACCATCAGAAAGTAGAGATTTCAGCGAGCAAAAAGCACACCGATTTTTTAAAAAAAGCAGATATATCGACGTGAGAATTTTCGATTGAAAATTAAGGTACTTTTTCGATATTAAATCAAATAAATATTCCGAATAAAAAAAATTACAGTCAGTTTGGGACATGTTGGAAGTGGACGGTATAGTGTACGAGTAACAGCGTCCGTCGTCTGCGTTGATGTATTAACGCAGACGACGACAGCGTCAATAACGTAGGCGGTACCGGTGACACTACCGGCAGAACCGATCGGGCGCGTGCGCGAGCACGGCTAAGAAGAAGAACCATAGAAAAACCTACAATAGAAGCTAATGTGATATAGACTGCGCTTGTATCTTTCACTGCGTATTTTCTTCCCCACTCACCAGGGGTCGCATGAAAAAAAACCTGTAAACGCTGATTCGCGCGGATTTTCAAAAGGCAAGGTACACAGAGAAAAACACTTTCTTGAAATAAGAATTTTAATTTATTTGAATGTCATTTCTTCGAGCGAAAAATATTTGTTTTATATGAAAATTAATATTTTTTATAGGAATAAATGAGTTTGTTTGACTTATATTCTTTGTTTTTTTGTGTTTAAAAAATTGGCCATCTTTCACCCAAGACAATAGAGTACCACACTAAAAAAATATTTAATTAAATTTCAGAAACAATTCAAATATGTTAAGACAATTAGACGATTTCTTTACTTCAAAAAAATGTAGACAATTTTTTAGTTTATCACTGTAACATGGAATCTTACTTTTTTCGAGTAATTAAAGTGTAAATTTTAATAAATGGCTCAAAATATTTCATGATGTAAAAAAAAATTTTTCAAATTCAAGTTTTTTCGTTTTTTGCGTTTCCTGTGAAAATTTGCCATAGTAATGTATCATTTTTTACACCATCAGAAAGTAGAGATTTCAGCGAACAAAAAGCACACCGATTTTTTAAAAAAAGCAGATATATCGACGTGAGAATTTTCGATTGAAAATTAGGGTACTTTTTCGATATTAAATCAAATAAATATTCCGAATAAAAAAAATTACAGTCAGTTTGGGACATGTTGGAAGTGGACGGTATAGTGTACGAGTAACAGCGTCCGTCGTCTGCGTTGATGTATTAACGCAGACGACGACAGCGTCAATAACGTAGGCGGTACCGGTGACACTACCGGCAGAACCGATCGGGCGCGTGCACGAGCACGGCTAAGAAGAAGAACCATAGAAAAACCTACAATAGAAGCTAATGTGATATAGACTGCGCTTGTATCTTTCACTGCGTATTTTCTTCCCCACTCACCAGGGGTCGCATGAAAAAAAACCTGTAAACGCTGATTCGCGCGGATTTTCAAAAGGCAAGGTACACAGAGAAAAACACTTTCTTGAAATAAGAATTTTAATTTATTTGAATGTCATTTCTTCGAGCGAAAAATATTTGTTTTATATGAAAATTAATATTTTTTATAGGAATAAATGAGTTTGTTTGACTTATATTCTTTGTTTTTTTGTGTTTAAAAAATTGGCCATCTTTCACCCAAGACAATAGAGTACCACACTAAAAAAATATTTAATTAAATTTCAGAAACAATTCAAATATGTTAAGACAATTAGACGATTTCTTTACTTCAAAAAAATGTAGACAATTTTTTAGTTTATCACTGTAACATGGAATCTTACTTTTTTCGAGTAATTAAAGTGTAAATTTTAATAAATGGCTCAAAATATTTCATGATGTAAAAAGAAATTTTTCAAATTCAAGTTTTTTCGTTTTTTGCGTTTCCTGTGAAAATTTGCCATAGTAATGTATCATTTTTTACACCATCAGAAAGTAGAGATTTCAGCGAACAAAAAGCACACCGATTTTTTAAAAAAAGCAGATATATCGACGTGAGAATTTTCGATTGAAAATTAGGGTACTTTTTCGATATTAAATCAAATAAATATTCCGAATAAAAAAAATTACAGTCAGTTTGGGACATGTTGGAAGTGGACGGTATAGTGTACGAGTAACAGCGTCCGTCGTCTGCGTTGATGTATTAACGCAGACGACGACAGCGTCAATAACGTAGGCGGTACCGGTGACACTACCGGCAGAACCGATCGGGCGCGTGCGCGAGCACGGCTAAGAAGAAGAACCATAGAAAAACCTACAATAGAAGCTAATGTGATATAGACTGCGCTTGTATCTTTCACTGCGTATTTTCTTCCCCACTCACCAGGGGTCGCATGAAAAAAAACCTGTAAACGCTGATTCGCGCGGATTTTCAAAAGGCAAGGTACACAGAGAAAAACACTTTCTTGAAATAAGAATTTTAATTTATTTGAATGTCATTTCTTCGAGCGAAAAATATTTGTTTTATATGAAAATTAATATTTTTTATAGGAATAAATGAGTTTGTTTGACTTATATTCTTTGTTTTTTTGTGTTTAAAAAATTGGCCATCTTTCACCCAAGACAATAGAGTACCACACTAAAAAAATATTTAATTAAATTTCAGAAACAATTCAAATATGTTAAGACAATTAGACGATTTCTTTACTTCAAAAAAATGTAGACAATTTTTTAGTTTATCACTGTAACATGGAATCTTACTTTTTTCGAGTAATTAAAGTGTAAATTTTAATAAATGGCTCAAAATATTTCATGATGTAAAAAGAAATTTTTCAAATTCAAGTTTTTTCGTTTTTTGCGTTTCCTGTGAAAATTTGCCATAGTAATGTATCATTTTTTACACCATCAGAAAGTAGAGATTTCAGCGAACAAAAAGCACACCGATTTTTTAAAAAAAGCAGATATATCGACGTGAGAATTTTCGATTGAAAATTAGGGTACTTTTTCGATATTAAATCAAATAAATATTCCGAATAAAAAAAATTACAGTCAGTTTGGGACATGTTGGAAGTGGACGGTATAGTGTACGAGTAACAGCGTCCGTCGTCTGCGTTGATGTATTAACGCAGACGACGACAGCGTCAATAACGTAGGCGGTACCGGTGACACTACCGGCAGAACCGATCGGGCGCGTGCGCGAGCACGGCTAAGAAGAAGAACCATAGAAAAACCTACAATAGAAGCTAATGTGATATAGACTGCGCTTGTATCTTTCACTGCGTATTTTCTTCCCCACTCACCAGGGGTCGCATGAAAAAAAACCTGTAAACGCTGATTCGCGCGGATTTTCAAAAGGCAAGGTACACAGAGAAAAACACTTTCTTGAAATAAGAATTTTAATTTATTTGAATGTCATTTCTTCGAGCGAAAAATATTTGTTTTATATGAAAATTAATATTTTTTATAGGAATAAATGAGTTTGTTTGACTTATATTCTTTGTTTTTTTGTGTTTAAAAAATTGGCCATCTTTCACCCAAGACAATAGAGTACCACACTAAAAAAATATTTAATTAAATTTCAGAAACAATTCAAATATGTTAAGACAATGTGACGATTTCTTTACTTCAAAAAAATGTAGACTTGATAAATATTTTTCGAAAATAATATTGCATTTTATTCGAATCAAATAAATATTTAATTGGACTGTGCATCACGTGATATGTTTTAACCAATCATGATGCAGCTTCTCAGTTCGCCGTGAAACTTGTTATAAAAACGCATGCATTGGCAAAAGATGTGGAAGTGGTTTGGTGCTGTGTAAAAAATGGAAGATTTTTTTATTCAAAACGGCTTGCAACACATTTTGCAAACATTTAAAGGTAGGTACATAAATGATGTACTAGATTAGTAATGGAAGAATTCATGCAGTTAGCATGCATGGTGTACGGCAATTTTCGTATATCTTGTATTGATGGGACAGAAATTCTAGGAAGTGTACATGTCCCGCCAGTAAACAAATCTACAGTTGGTATACTTGAAAATTGTGACGCACGGGATTCTGCACTTTTAAAATTGTTTATATAAGTTGGATGCAGATTTTGCGTGGTCAAAACATTCTCCGTAATTGAGCTATAAATTTTAATTCAATACAAAGCAATTTTTGCATGTTTAGATTACAATTAAAGTTAGGATATTTCTATTTTTTTTATTACTGCTGCTACGTACAAAACGATTTACTGAAGTATCCGTATAATCTTGTTCCAGATCAAAATATTGACTCAGTTGATTTGTTGTCGTTGATCAGTGAAGAACAAATTAAATTACTTATTCCAGCAGTTGGAGACCAAATCAGGTTTAAACAAGCTGTGAAAAGAATCAATTCAAATCCTTGCATTGACAATAACCAGGTATGTATTTATATAGCTGTCAAGCATTGCCGTTCTAAGATAGTAAGTATCTACTATGAAGCTGAACAAGCACTGAATTGGCTAGCAAACTCTCGATCTATAAATTAGAAATTCAGAAAATTCCACGATTGCCACAGCCTCCGTGATTCAAGTTATCATATTTTAACTGAACTGACCACTACCAATTTTACACAGCTAGATTAAAGTTTTGAATTTCAATCAAAGGTAACTGTAGATATCAGTATACAGGGAAACATTCCTGAATAATACTATCAGTATTTTTAAGTTTCTAATATAGGTAACCAAAATTTCGTAAATTGCCAGTAACAACCTTTATATACTTTAACATTATTTTTAGTACATACAAGAAAATCTAAAAAGTACTATCGGCTGACAGTAATTTCATTTTACAACAAAATATTGTTAACTACTATGGAATAAGTACCTACTTATTTTCTTTGCAGCAATATCATAATGAAAATGAGCTGGTAGTTTCAAACAAGAGGAAACAAGCCGTTTTTGAAAATAATCCCATTAGTATTGATGAAACTGAACCAGAATCAAAATTTAAAAAAATTGATGGGTCAACAGCAATATTACCCGTCGTTGATTCTCAAGCTCCTGGTCCTGGTAATTCTGGCACAGAAACAGGAATTGCGTCAGCCTCAACAGTTACAGACTTACGAAATAGTGACTGTGGTCAAAACTCTTCGTTCTTGTCTGTTGCACAAGAAATTCACGACTTTAATTTGAGTGCTATCTTAGAGGGAGATGTTATTGGGCGAGCAATTTTAACAAAACACAACACGAACGTCCCAGTAACTAACAGAAATCGAAACAGCTTATGTGAAATAGTAATTTCTTATTTTTTGAATAAATCTGTTAAACTGAATAACGATTTTTTGTCGCGCATTGCGGATGAAATTACAAAGATCATCCCTACTGAAAAAAAACTACTTATTTCGTAAGCCCCATCAAAAAAATTTGTTCCAGATTTAATAAACCCGAAGTAGCAAGAGGAAAACTTGTGGACAAACACAGGAATAAACTGAGAGCTTTAAGAAGAACAATAGAATTCCCACCTGTGCCAAGTAATTATAATACTGAACCTACTTCTAATGGTGAGTTGCAGTATTTTTCCGGTATTTAATTTTTATTAAAAATGTTCCAGAACCGTCACAGAGTGCTAAAGACAGTCAAATTTGGCTTTTGCATAATCGTGAAACTGTAGAAGATGTGTTACAACATCGGAAAAATGCTTATGAAATAAGAAAATTTTGTAATAACAAGAACGCGACAATAGAATCTTTTCTTAATGAATGGCCGATTTTGAATGAGCAGATAGCTATAGAACTGGTGAATATTATTTTAAATACGAAATTAAATCCTCAAGTGAAGTGTTCATATTTTTTAGGTCTCATACGACTTCAAACAGATGTTCCAACTTGAATTAACCGCAATTGATTTAGAAAATGCTTTTGAAAAATTCTTTGATTCTGTAATTCATAAAAGAAGGAGTAGTTTAAATGCAACTGATGAAACGTTTATACAGTTACTTGCTGGGAATATTACCACAGGTATTTAAATATATATATGACCATATCTAATGTAACTATTGTTTATACACATAAAATTGAAGTAGCAATTTTTTGGTCGGTATATAATACATATTAACATTTTCAGATTCAAAGAATGCCATTAAACTCTACTTGCTGTTTTCTCTTGTACCAGTTAAAGGGAGAACCAGAATTGGTTAAAAACATTGGAAACCTTCTAGAACAGAAAGTCGTGATGGATTCTTTTTATACGTAAAGGTGCCTGGAGATATTGAAAAAGCAAAACAGGAGAAAATTGACTTAATTACTGCAGAGGTACAACTGTTCAACCGTATTCATTTTAGTAGGACCTAGTTTGAATAATATTTCAGCGGCATATGTTGTTGTTAACAATAACATCTATAAAAATATTTCCTTTCCACCTTATCTTAATTTTACACATTTTATATTGGTAAGTTTTTATTTTTCTTACGTAAAAGTATTAAGTTAGGCTATTTTTTGCATTCCTATTTGTGTTGAAATCAACATTGTTTTCCTTTTTTATATATAAACAATATAAAATACTCTTGAGTTTTATTCAAAACACTCCTTTCATAATTTCAATAAACCTTAGAATTGATACAAATAATTCAATATTTTAATTGAAAGAAATATATAATTGACTGGAATAAGTCTTGTTAAATAATATGAAAAACATTCTTTTAATACAATAATATTTATACGTTAAATAATCTTAGTACATATTTGAGACAAATAAAAATTGTGTTAATACAAATAAATGTAAATGTTGTTTCAAATAATTTTATTATAAAGTATAAAGTAACTGTTTTTTAATTCAAACATATATTTATTTAACTTTGGAGAGATTTACAAACAAATGTTATTTTATTATAAAGAAATAATTTTTTGAATATATCAAAGAAATAAAAATGGGAAAACAAATGAATATTTCATTCCCCGTATAGAAATAACATATTTCTTTGGGCTAAACAAAATTTATTCGCCTTAAACAATCTTTTTTATCTGTGTGGGTTAAAAAATTTGATAAAAAAGAATGTCCTGTGGTACTGGACTCTAGAACATTCTAAAGCATATTAAACACTCAAGGAGATAATAACAAAAACACTTAATTCAAATTTTTAATACAAATCTAGCAGTAGAAATACGAACAGATGCCAGTCAAAATGGCATGAGGATGCCTGTTATAAAAAGGGCAGCCAGTAGCCTTTTGTTTTTTGTTCACATAGCATGACAGAAACAGAAACACGGTATTCTCAGTGCGAGGAAGAAATGTTAGCAATTTGTTTTGCATTAACGAAGTTTCATCATTTCATTTATGGTCGCAAAATAATAGTAAAAATAGATCATAAACCATTAGTAAGCAATTTATCAAAAATATATGCATAGAGTTAACAATAGATTGCAAAAAATGAAGTTGAAAGTCTTAAAGTACGACTTCGCAGCAGAATACTTATCTGAAAAGTACATGTACATAGCAGATTTGATCTCGTGTTGTTTTGGCAAGAAAACAATGGAAAAAGGCCTAGAACTGGAGGAAAGAATTCATTCGATTGACGTTGAACTTCCAATGTCAAAAGTCCGAGTCAAAGAGTTAAAAGATGCCACGCTTACACATCCAGTTCTAGGTGAAGCAACAAAATTCTGTGAGGAAAATTGACCAGAAAATATAAATAAATTAATACAGAATGAGGCTAAAGTTTTTTACAACATTAAAAACGACGTATTGGTTAAAGACAATTTAGTTTTTTTATAATGATAAACTCGTCCAAAATCGTTATGACTACAAATACAAAACAAACTATGTACATATAGGTCATTTGGGAATGGACAGCACAAGGAAGAGAGCAAGAAAAATTTTCTATTACCCATAAATATTAAATACAGACATTGAGAACTTTGTTGAGATGTAAAACTTGTCTAAAAATTAGTAATAGTGGTTAAAAAAAACCCCCATACAACACTAACCTTCAGAAATACCATTTGCAAAGGTTGCTGTTGATGTATTTACATTAGGGGGCAAGATTACCATTAAATGGTGTTAATTCGGACCGATGTGTTATTATTACTATTAGAGTCGCACATTCTCGCTTTCAAATTTAAATGTGCTAGTGACATCTAGTGCTTAATAGCAAACGCTGAAAAAGTGATATGTATGAGTTCTGTAGAGTGGCAAGCAACCGTTGTTGAGAATTTCGTTTGAACAGGTAAGTGTTTTTTATTAAAAAATAATGGATGAAACGCTCCAAATAGGTGGTCTTATGAAGTCCTATACTTCAGATAAATTGCCAACAATTTAGGAATTAACTTATCTTTCTAAATCTGTTGGTACCACTGGTACCAACCCCATGTTTATACCCCCACCCGTTTCACTGTTCAATTCAATGTATATTTCGAACGGACTACGAGTCTGTCTCTGTCTGCAACCACCATCTAATAAACAACGATACATAATTCAACGAATAGTATTTTTTGGGATGTACCTTCGTACATTTTATGGTCCTTCGAGCCGGATACGATAACCAGTGCAGTTATTTGTAAAACTCGCGGCTAGTGTAGTAATTCGCAAAACTCGCGTTTAGTGCAGATAGTCGTAAAACTCGCGTTAGTTCAGTATACGCATCTTCAACGTTATACGATCACCATTGCAATGGTCAAAACAAGAAATCAATCAACAATATACGATCACCGTTGCAGTGATTGCTTCAAGGCGAAAATTCATTCGAGGGAAGACCGAACCATCGAAATTCAGAGGACAGACGAAGCATCCACTTGGTTGTAAGGTCAGATCAATTGCTTTTTTCCCTCACATTATTCGTATTCAAACAAGTTTCGCCGTTGTATTCGGTACGGTATTTTGGATACGTTTGCCTGCTACTCATTGCAAATCGTCGGCATTTTTGGCAGTTTTTATCCCACTATTAGCATGGCAAACAATTTAAAAGAGCTGAAAAATCAACGTAAAATCTTAAAAGGGATGATCACGCGAATTCAGAACAGTATCAGCGAACAAGACGGTATTCAGGAACTGGAAATGCGGTTAAATAATCTTACGGACAATTTACAGAAATATAATGATGTTCAAGCGCAAATTGAGGTGTTGCAACTCGAAGATATTAGTAAAGATGAAGAAACTTGGGACGTAGAAAATGATAGGGAACGTACTGTTACGACACCTTTTGTGCCGACCGACCTATGCTCTGGTGGAGATGGGGTATACAAAAAAGACGGTAACTTACTTAAATCTAATGAAACAAGAAATACACTGGACGCGACACAGCGCCCTTCAAATCACAGATTAATTACCAACTACACCTTATTTTAACAATGACCACAGTGGGTCGCACACAGCGCCCTTTTCGATACGAATTACCACCCTACAGGGTTGCTTCCTCCCTCCCTTGGTAGGCAAGTCCTGCAGGAGGATTCGTGGGGAGGAAAAATCTGGCACGGCGGTTCCTCTCGTTTTCGTGACGCCCCCTTGTCGGCGTCGTGGGACGAGTCGGGAGGTGTGGAGGCCTGAGGAATTCTTACGGTCTCCCCAAAGGTTTTTCGTTCTTCTTCCCAAAAGAAATGAGTAACGCCACGTCGAGGAGGAAAAAGTTGTAGAAAAAAACAGAAAAGAAATCGAAAACTTGGCTGTCTCTGTGCAAAGGAAAACCTGGTTTATACGGGATCTCGCAAGGGTGACTTACTTACGGTTCTCTCTCACACTCGCTCGCACCCCTGGTGTAACTTTTCCGGGCTGTCGCTCCCCCAAAAGTTACAACCCCTTCTTTGTGCGTCCGCTGCCGACCGTTACTCGATTCTGTTTTAAACACGATCTCGTCGGATGAGTTGCGGAAATTCCCGATTAGGCGACCAATCGCGCTTTCCCTGCTCAAAATGCCACTCGTTCACCGCAGTCTCTCACTTGCGCCTGACTCGCTGTTATCTAGGCAACCCCTTATTTTCGAACCGTAACAGTACCCAAGTTGAGAATCAGTTTTATAAAACCGCAGGTCAAATTAAATCGTTAATAATGAAAAATAAACCTAGTTCATCAAACCCGTCGCATAAAACAAACTCGACCGTTATTAATTTCAATAGTTCTAATTCCATGGATAGGTCAGAGTTAATTGCAAATTTAAAACCATTGCCGTTGCCGATATTCACAGGTAAGCACTGTGAATGGTTTACATTTTATGACTCATACAAGTCACTAGTTCACGATGATAATTGTATCTCTGATATCAGAAAATTCCATTATCTCCGCGGGTGTTTAAAAGACGAAGCGTTCAGAGCCATCGAATGTCTCGCAGTCTCAGGCGATAATTATGCTAGTGCAATTGAATTACTAAGGCAGAGGTTTGAAAATAAACGAATTATTGTCCAAGAACACATAAGCAATATTTTGAATATTCCAAATATATTAAAACAATCATATTCAGATCTCCGTCAATTACTGGATACAGTTAATAATAACATCGCAGCGTTAAAGGTGTTAAACCAACCGGTAGAAACATGGGATTCGCTTTTAATCGCTATAATTACCGAAAAATTGGACTTCGCGACCAGGCGGGAATGGCAAATCGGTTTGGATAAGGATCTTCCTACTTATAAAAAATTTAATGAATTTTTAGAAAAGAGATATCAGGTATTAGAGGCTTTAAATGCAATGAAACATTCAAGTAACAATAGTGAACCAAAATTTAGTTCGACTCATTCTAAACAAGTGAAGCAACCGTTTAAATTTTCTCAAAGGCCAGCTCAAAAATTATTTTCAACAAATGTCGTGACAAAAATTATGTGCTTATTTTGCAAGAGTCCGCATGGCATTTTCCAATGTACTGAATTTTTGAGTAAATCGGTCACAGATCGAATGAAACAAGTAGATGAATTAAAACTTTGTCATAGGGTAAAGTCAGGAGAGTTGGACCAGTGGGAGAGACGGTCCATTAGCAATAACTCTGAACCTATTGGAACAATTTAAATTTCCCGCGAACTACAGTTGCATCTATCTGCATTCATGTCGGGACATGTGAAAATACTTTTGTTCCAATTAAATGTTTTGCGTTATTCAACATTAAAATTTTCTTGCGGGCCTGAAATTTCAGCCGCTTACTTTGCGATAACGTTTGTTGGAAGTCTGGTAAGTTTGCATATAAAAGTTATAGACAGTACAATTAATGGAAGCTTTGTCTTTGATTTTAACCTCACTTTACGTGATTTTATCATCTAGTTGTGCCGCAATGTAGTGGTCCATCTGTCCTAACATAAAAGGATAGATGGTCCAACGGTGTGACAGAGAGATGGACTTATGTTCCATTTTTTAGAAAATGCCAAGTAATTACATACGAAAAACCAACGCAAGGTAGATTTGTATTCCATCTCTATGGCTATTAATTTTTAGGTCTAGCGGGCAAAATATGGTTGGCTTCTTTTTTGGATTTAATATTGTGTACTATGCAAAAGATGGTTACACAAGAGATGTACGAGCTATGAGGCCCTTTGTCAAACCTATGGAAACACTATTAACAAAAGAAAAAGTAAAAATTTGGTGGTTTATCTATCTTACCTAAAATGGTCCGACTGTCCTACCCTTGACAGGATAGTTGGACCGTTGCAAGCGTTTACCATTTTTTTTTTGATGGATTATCATATTGTGTTGGAACAAAAAAATTACTTGTACCTTAAAGAATAAATGTTCAGCTATGTTCTTGTAAATTTTATATTTTTTTAAGTTGTTCAATAAAGGAATTATATTGACTTTTTTAAAAGGTGGTCCAACTCTCCCGACTTTACCCTAATTGTTTTAGAACCAATCATAATGTAACACAATGCAATTCGCCAAAACTCTGTAAAACTTGCGGTCAAAAACACCATACTTTACTGCACATTAATAATTTCCAGCCATCTACTTCCGCATTGCATGTATCGACACCTAGTCAAGTCCTTTTATCAACAGTACTTTTGTTAATTAAAGATAATAACGGCAAACTGCATCCATGTCGTGCCTTACTAGATCAAGGTTCAGAAGCTAATGTGATAACTAAAAACTTGTGCAAAAAATTGAATCTAAATCCAAGGGGTATAAATACCTTCATATCGGGAATCAATGGCTCAATAAATTCTGTTACTGAGCGTGTTAATATAACTGTTAAGTCTCGGATTAATGAATTTGAAATCTCCTTTAATTGTTTAGTTATGTCTAAAATTACGGAACGCACACCAGCACTGTCAATTGATAAAAGTAAAATACGTATACCCCCAAATATCATTTTAGCGGATCCCGATTTCGAACAATCACGCGAAGTAGACTTACTTATCGGTGCTGAAATATTTTGGAGCCTTTTGATTGGTAGTCCAACTCGGTTCAAACCGAATCAACCATTTTTACAAGAAACTATTTTTGGGCATATAGTCAGCGGGAAGGTTTCTACAGTTGAAAATCGCAACCAAAATTTATCCTGTAATATTTTATCATTATCTGCCGATTTACAACTAAATGAACAGGTAGCAAATTTTTGGCAACAAGAAAGTGTCGATGAACCCAACTTCGGCGAATCGTGTATAGTGCTCCAACTGCTGGTTCGTTTTTATGACCTTATCCTATTGTGAAGGAGTTAAGTGTTCCACAATAGCCCTCTGCCGTAAGTAATTCAGCGGTCGCAAACCGTCAAGGAACCAACTGTCTACACTACACAGGGCCGTATGCGCCCGTAAACCTTTAAGATGATTTATGGTACGGCTATTTACATTTTCAATAGAGTTCCTAATACTTGCGGTAATTGAGATTGCAGTGCCATAAAAACGAAGTCAGAGTTGGACCACTATACAATAGAATCTCATTTCCTTGAAAATACCCATCGGGATGTACAGGGCAAATTTATGGTAAGGCTGCCATTCAAAGACCAGGCTACTTTGGGTCATTCGCGCGGATTAGCACTCAAACAATTTTACAGTCTTGAAAGACGCCTGGCAAGGAATCCTTTACTCAAGTTAAATTACCAAAATTTTATGAGGGAGTATTTAGCGTTAAACCACATGGAACTTGTCCCAACGAAAGAATTAGGAATTCCCAAAACCTTCTACCTGCCCCATCATCCGGTCTTTAAACAAACACAGGATGGTCCCCAAATAAGAGTGGTATTCAATGCGTCCATAAAATCCTACAATAACTTAAGCTTAAATGATGTTTTAATGACGGGCCCTACAATACAAGGGGACTTGTTTTCACTCCTTTGTCGGTTTCGAACTTACCAGTACGTCCTTTCCGGGGACATAACAAAAATGTATAGAATGATACTTGTTGACGAACAGGACACAAATTATCAAAGGATATTTTGGAGAATTAGTAACGATGAACCAGTTCAAACATTTATGTTGAAAACGTTAACATACGGTACAACCTGTGCACCATATTTAGCAGTACGTTGTCTGCAACAGCTAGCGGCGGAAGCCCAAAATACTTATCCTTTAGCCAGCGAAATAATAAATCGGGATTTTTATATGGACGACCTTCTAACAGGCAGTAATTCAGTAGAGCAAATCGTTCTAATCAGGGATCAACTTTCACAGATTTTAATAAAGGGGGGATTTAAGCTTTGTAAATGGGCGTCAAATATACCGGCCGAATCAGTTGTGGCTGAATCGGAACCCTTAACATCAGTTAGTTGGAATAAAGAAAGCGAAGTTAAGGTTTTAGGATTTTTCTGGCATTGTCAAAATGACGAATTAAGATATCAAGTCAACATTCCACTAATTGAATCTGAACAAATTTCAAAACGGCACATATTGTCAAGCGTGGCCAAAATATTTGATCCTTTAGGGCTAGTTAATCCAGTAATTGTAAAGGCCAAAATTCTGCTACAGGGTTTATGGAAATTAAAATTGAATTGGGACGAACCGGTACCGCCCACATTTCAAAATGCTTGGACAAAATTCGTTAACGAGCTGAAGGATCTAAGGAATTATAACATAACACGCAAATTAATAATCTCCTATCCCTATATGGCTGTTGAAATCCACGGTTTTTCGGATGCTTCAACAAAGGCATATGGCGCAGCCATTTATATAAGGGTTATATATCAATCAGGTGACGTTTCAGTTAGGTTGGCATGTGCAAAATCTCGCGTCGCACCATTAAACACAGTGACTTTACCTCGTTTAGAACTAAACGCCGCGGTATTATTAATTAAATTGTTTATCAAGGTAAATAGCATTTTGAATCTAAACGTAGATCGTAGATATTTCTGGACTGACTCTACCATTGTCCTCGCATGGCTAGCAGAATCTCCAAATAATTGGAAACCATATGTTGCCAACAGAGTAGCGTACGTGAAAAAACATAGTTTAATCGCAGAATGGCATCATGTTTGTTCTAAGGATAACCCCGCCGATATGGTTTCTAGGGGTCTACTTCCACGGCAATTAAATCAATCTACTTTGTGGTGGCACGGGCCGACTTGGCTACGCCAAACATCAAATAATTGGCCTAGTCTTTCAGATAACGAATACGAAGAAGTTGCGCTTAACACAGAAAGGAAGTCGTTAGTTACTATTAATGTCGTTAATATAGATCCAGAGTTATTTTTTTTATACCAGTTATATCCAAATATTCATTATTTGAAAAATTGCAACGGGTCATATCATACTGCTTACGATTTATTAAAAATTGTAGGCAGCAAACTAAAATCAAAGGCGCATTGTCGGTAGAAGAATTAAACGAGGCTCAAACAATAATATTTAAACATATTCAGGTACGAGCTTTTCCTGAATATTTCACCGGTAATCCCATTAAGGCTAAACAGTATAAGCTGTCAAAACTTGATCCTTTTGTGGACAGCAACGGGTTTTTAAGAGTAGGGGGACGTTTAAAAAATGCCCCAATTTCATTTGATAAAAGGTTCCCAATACTTCTGCCGCGTAATCATCACGTATCAAAAACAATAATAAGACATATGCATGAGCGGGAATTGCACGCAGGTACCAGCGGGACAGTGACAGCGGTACGACAAAAATTCTGGCCATTGGGGGCTAGGGATACCACTAAGAAAATAATTCACCATTGTACGAAATGCAGTCGCGTCAATCCCAAGCCATTTACTCAGAAAATGGGCAATCTGCTTAGGCAAAGAGTACAATTAACGCGCCCATTTCATGTGTCGGGCGTTGATTACGCCGGACCCTTTTTGATAAAGGAAGGTCAAACTCGCAACGCCAAAGAGGTTAAGGCATACATCGCTCTATTTATATGCTTCAGTACCAAGCCAGTACATTTGGAGCTGGTAGGAGATCTAACTAGCGAGGGTTTTTTAGCGGCCTTAAAACGGTTTACTTCGCGGCGAGGTAAGGTAGCGGAAATATTTTCCGATAACGGCACGAATTTTGTAGGAGCCGAGCGGCAGCTCTTTCGTGCCCAAGCCTTCCAAAACAAAATAACCGAGCGATTGACCTGCCAAAACATAAAATTTCATTTTATTCTTCCGCGGTCCCCACATTTCGGAGGTTTGTGGGAGAGAGCGGTCAGAAGTGTTAAACAGCATTTGCAAAGGGTAGTAGGTGACACTAACTTAAATTACGAGGAATTTTACACGGTTTTAACAGCAATCGAAGCTTGTTTGAATTCACGACCTATCACACCCATATCCTGTGACCCTAACGATCTCAACGCCTTAACGCCGGGTCATTTTTTAATTGGGGCACCCATTACGGCCCATGCTGAGGAAGACCTCACAGTGATCCCAAGCAACCGATTATCTCGATGGAGAAGAGTTCAACAGCTACAGCAACATTTTTGGAAGCGTAAGGAATATCTATCGCAGCTACAATGCCGACCAAAGGGTCAGCGGGGTCCAGCAACAGCCATCGACGTCGGCACATTGGTGGTGCTAATGGAGGAAAATCTACCGCCCATGCAATGGAAACTGGGACGAATTGCAGAACTTCATCCTGGTGAAGATAGTGTGGTGCGCGTAGTGACCGTAAAAACCGCGAATGGCCTGTTTAAGCGATCTGTGAAAAAGGTGTGTGCGATACCGCTGGAAACATAAGCGCGTCAGCACTATTATTTTCAAGGACTTTAATTTGATAATTTTGTTACGATTATTTTATTGTATTGTATATATATTTTTTATCGAAGAATTGGCTTCAACGTGGGGGAGCATGTTGGTACCACTGGTACCAACCCCATGTTTCTACCCCCACCCGTTTCACTGTTCAATTCAATGTATATTTCGAACGGACTACGAGTCTGTCTGCAACCACCATCTAATAAACAACGATACATAATTCAACGAATAGTATTTTTTGGGATGTACCTTCGTACAAAATCATTCAAAATTGATAGGTTAAGATGTGTACTCAAACACCACCTGCACAATAAAAATCCGAATAATGTTAAAATTCTAATGTTCCGCTTAAATTTTGTGAGTTAATTTTGTAGTGTGAATTTTCATTTGCACATGCATACCATCAGAATTTGTGCCGTGCTTGTTTGAAGTGTTTCAATTTTAAATAAAGGTAGGTACATATTAATAGAATATTGTAGTTTTCTTTAATATATGTATATATACCGCCACTACTACAAAGTACAAACTTATGATTTTAATTGTGGAGATAATTCATTAGCAGTTACCGATTTAGTGTTTGTGAAAATTTGTGCTTTCTACTTTATCCCTTCTTTATTTGTTGAATTGAAAAATACAGCTTCAAATTTTGCTGTTTTGTGTAAATATGATTACCGGTTTGTCTATTAAATGCCTGTTTACATTTATAAAAGTTGGCTGGTAGGAAAGCCATATCTGTATTCCATATGTAAAGTCGGTAGGGTAATAACCTTACCGAAATGTCAATTGTCAACATTTGTCAAGGAATTGAAAAGTAATGAATGTAAGTAACTTTACTGGTTTTATTTAAACTGTTTAATGCTTAACTGGCTGCATTTTTAACATTTTCGGGCAATACGTCACCTAAATCCATCATTTTTCTAATTCTGTTCTTAACATTTTTTTAATAAACAACAAAATGTAACTATGACACCGAAATATATCATGAAAACGTGATCAACCAAATTTATTTATTTTAGATCAATGGCAGAAACCGATAAAATCTTGAACACACCAGGGATGTAAAGGATGCCATGACCTAGGTATGTTGATACCTATAACTTGACGATAATTGCAGTGACACTTACGCTAGTTTAAAGTAACTTGTGAAGTGTGCTGAAACTAAAATTTAGACATTAAGAGCGATGTTTCACATGTTGAAAAGCGCGTATTAGAAAAAAAATTGGAGTAACTTTATTACCAAAAATCGTCTATGTAACTTGAAAAAGAAAGTACAATCCTTGTAAAATGTTAACGAACATGGAAATATCACAACCAACCAACCGACTACCTATTAGGTTTTTCGGTTTCTACAACTGCGCAATTATGTAAAACCATTAAGTTTTGGCTGCTTGTAAATAAATCTCTAAAAAATAAAAATGCATCTCAGGTTAAAACCCACAGGGAGACGGATGCAAAAGCATTTTTTCATGTGCATGATGGTAATTGTAAGTATTGTATTTTTGAATGAACATTCCCGTTCAAAGTGACCTTTGTAATATGGATTGGAACTGCTACGGATGCAGCTTTCAAGTTTAAAAAATATGTGAGCTTGATATGCAAATTATGATATAAGTAGAAAATTTTCAAGCTAGTGATTTTTAAATGTTGGAAGATCACTCAAACCCCCGGCCATTTAAATTTGTTTATCTATATGTCATCATTTTAATACGTTTAGATTACACTGAGTTGAAAGGAGGGGTAACAAAAAGTTCTACGCACACAGAATTTTGGAATAATTGTATGAAGGTGTTGCAGACAGTGAAATTTTATGACATTAAAAGGAAAAACTTGGTTTCAATTCCATCTGTGCTAAATTTGATTAAATCAATTAAAAGACTACAAATATTAATACATATTTTGATCAACGACCATCACTTTTCGTATTTTCTGACAAGAGCGCTAAACCAAGACTGCACAGAGAATTTCTTCTCATGCGTCAGGGGTCAGAGTGGGTGTTCGACAAAGCCTGTCGGCTTTTATCGGCACCTTGAAGTCTCTGGTCGTAAATAATTTTTTTGCCAGACCTTTACCAACTGCGAAGAAGATTCCCATGAAGGTGCCCTCACCACTTTACGTTTACGAATTACTGGCGAAGTGATTAATGATGATAGTGATGAAGTTGAAAATAAAAGTACATCCTTACCACCCTATCTCTTTCGAATAAGAAGAACAAGGACAGAAATATCAACATTACTTATGTTGCTGGATATCTTGTACGAGTGTGTCTCAAAGAGACACATAATTGCAAAGACTGTTTGGCCTCACTGACTCCTCGTGATAGTCCAGGCGGAATGGAATTCATTGAAGCTAAGCAGTATACCAACGCATAATTACAAAAACTAGGGAGTTACTTAGTTTTTGCGGTCAACCAAGCTTTGGGAAGATTATTTTATGTTCTTTCAAGAGTTTGTGCCAATTTTAATATTTTGAAAATGCTGAAAACGTGTGTAGGTTCCCAAATTAATTTCAGGGTTTTTAATTGTATAGGAGATTCTTTAGGCTCGATTGTCCTATATAGAAAAACTATGCAAATGTGTAACGCATTTTTAGTTTAGGCAAGTAAATTCCATTGTCTATGGGAAAGACGATAGATTTGCTTTGTCATATAAAAAAAATGCTGGCCAAAACTAAAACAGATCTTGTCAAGGTATGTGTTTTTAACATGCACGAAAAAAATAAAAAAAACGTGTGCAAAAATAAGTAAATAGATTATTCTAAAAATTCTATTTCCCTATTTGTACAGGAATATATTTTCATTTGTTTATTTTATGTTGTTAATGTTCTTCTTTTATAATGTATTTTTAAACTTTTTTTATTCTCACGTTTTTTTTTTAATCATTTTTTATTGTAATATTAGTAGTTTTAGAATTTATTACACTGTAATAAATTTGATTAAAAGTTTTTTGTTTGTTCCTCTTTCTTAAATTTGAAAATTTAAATTTTGATTGAAATGTCATAAAGGAGAGCCGCCATTGTCGAGCAGTCTGCTGCTCGTACAGCAGGGGGCGGGGCGCCTCGAATAATGTTCCAATAGAGTTTCTATGTACACAGAGTACAGCCATTGGTATCGCCGTTAAATAGGAGTGAAAATGGCGGCGGTTGTAACCTTGACAACATTTATGGTATTTTGAGACAGAATTTTTAATATCCCGCCTTCTATAAAGCAAGCTAGATTTGATGTTAGTTCATTTTCCGTTCGAAAAAATATTGTAGTCATTCGTTTTATATACAAATTGCTCAAAAACAAGATGGATTGTCCAGAGCTTCTATCCGTACTATTTTTTTTTGGGCCACGTGCAAACATACGCTAACAAAATTTATTTTAGATGCTAAATTATAATACCAATGCTTTTGTTATGTCCCCGATAGCTTTAATGTGTAGACTGTTTAATAGAATAGCATACAAATGTGACATATATTTCGACTCCGTTAAGACAATATGTCGGTATGTACAGTATCGTAGGGGTTAATATTCTTAAGTTAATGTTTAAGCTTTATTTACCTTAATTTGTTTTTTTTTTTTTTGAGTTATCTTTTTGGTTCCTGTAATTGGGTTTGTCCTGTTGGGATCAATAAATTTATTTATTTGTTTATTCAATATGATTGGGTACCGTTGACAGTTGTTCATATGTTTGTTTTCCAGTTTAGGTTAATGTTAATTCCGCTTTGGACTATTTGGTGTGATCAATCAAAGTCTCTGCGTTAAATTATAGTTCATTTGTGTTTATCAAAATGATCCAAAGTTTTTGAGTGAACCAACCTCCGAACTTATACGGTTGATTATGATTTCTAATAAATCATGCCTTGTTGTTCGTTGACGAATTGCAAGAATCGCACAGAGGATGGTTACCGATTGTTTCAGTTACCGTAAGGAACAAGGAATGAACAACGGAAAGAAGTATGGTTGCATTTTATTTATAGGGGCAATATACTCTCCAGAAGGGCACATGTTTGTGAAGTAAAATGAGAATAATAATAATTATTAATATTATAATTAATTATATTTGTTGCAATATGTCAGAATTAGATACGCTCTGGCCCAGTGCCGGTGCGACACTTGTGAGGTTGAAAGTCTGGACTCTTTTGTCTTTGTCGGCGTTTCATGGCAAATCGACGTCCAGATGTTGAGAGCTTTTTTTTCCAATTTAGTTTTCACATATTGTACATATCTAAGTCAGTTAACCTTCGCTAGTGTTAACATCGGTGGCCTTTTATTTTTGCACTTTTAATACGCACATAAATTAACAGGTTTTGGGCCCAGATTACGTATCGAGTACTGTGCAGTTAGTATTTTGAAAAAGTGCAATTAGTGGAATATCAGCGGTTGGTTCCTATTCGAAGTTGTAATTTGTAGTTGGTCAGTGTTCAAGTTCGGTTTCGCGGCCAATAGTAGCAGACACATCGAAAATAGATAAGTTCGCGATAGCTAAGTTTAACGGCAACGATTTTGCAGTATGGAAATTTCAAATGCGCGCCTATCTGCGGCATCACGAATTGTCAGATGTTGTCGAAGGTATGAAAGCTCGCCCTGATTCGGGAGATACGTCCAAGGAACAAGAAGCATGGGACAGAAAAGACGAGAAAGCTCAATTAAAACGGAATATTTCGTCTGTAATAGTCAAATGTTATTCGTTTTCAATCAGGTAAATATTAAAACTTCCATAAATTTGTAATACTTTTGATATGTATAAAGGTTCTGGGTATAATTATAATTGTTTTTTTGATAACCTCGCTTTTGTTTTAATATGTTGGGTTGGGGTTAGTTGAGATATAGTTGCTCAACTAACCCCACAACTCAGAACAAAAGTGATACAACGTGTTACAGAAAAAAGTATATTAAATTTAACCACGAACAGAACACGTAAACAGAAAACATTTTTCTATTTGTCATTTTTTCAAAAACGAATTTTTTTGTCACAGTTTTACCCCCCCCCCCAATTTTTTAACGAGCCGGCCATGCATTTCTTCAATTGTTGACCGTGAATTTCACTTTCGATGCATCAGGTGGAAAGTGTTTGTTTTTACCCAATTTTTTGGCGAGTTGGCTAGCGATATAACGTTTTACCAGCCTACGTTAGTTCCTTTTCGACTTTCCTTTGTGGTGTTTTCACTTTTCGTTGTGTGAAGTTATCCCCCGCTATTCAAACAGTGAATACACGGACATGGTGCTAGTGTATGGAGAAGCCCAAGGAAATGCAGAGCAAGCATAAAGAATTTTGATATTCTTGAAATTTTGCGGGAATAAGTGATACGTGCTGCTGAACCAATTCGAAACAATGAAATTATGTTACAAAAAGTCAAAGACTCATTTCGTCGCCGTCTTCAGTGTTGTCTAAACAATAATGGTGGCCACTTTGAACATTTATTATGAAGTTTTTGGCGATTTCAAGGTAGGTATCCATTACCTATTACAGCCTTGCATTCAAATGTTTACATTTTTTGTTCCGTGTTGTGTTCATTTCTTATCCCTCTCCGCAAGAAACTGCTTTGTTAGCCATGGGCGGGTAGGTGAATTTGTATTAGATCTTTGACTAATTTTAACTCAATCACAAAAGGGTTTCCGACAAAATGTTATTTACAAATTTAATTGCTTTGGATTAGTTCTATTACCAGTTAAAATTAATGTACTTTTTTCTGTAACAGGCAAACAGGCTGTATATGTTTTTTATATTTTTTTAGGATGCGGACTTATAAAAGAAAGACCACAAGGTGTTCTTACTCTACTCAAGATTTAAATGATGCTGCAGAGGCTGTCAACGACGAGGGAAAAAGTGTGAATGCCGCCGCCAAAGAAAAATTCAATATTAAAAGAATGACTGACAAGATTTTTGAAGAAATCAAATGAAGATGGTGATTCATCCATGGGGTATTTTAAAGAGTCCTCTTGCGTGGAAGAAAATACTTGCCTCGGTGTTGCATACCCCATGGATGAATCACCACGCCAAGTATTTTCTTCCACGCAAGAGGACTCTTCCAAAAAATACTTGCTACAAATGGTATCACTCTTCTATGGGTATTCCCCAAAAGACGTTCGTCGCCTTGCCTACGAGTATGCTGAACCCACCAGCCTTGGTAGAGCAACATCATTTAATGCTCAGAATGTTATAGTCTTTTTTGACAAATTAGCTGAAGTAATGGATAAACATGGATTTAGTGCGTCAGACATTTGGAATGTGGATGAAACAGGAGTGTCCACTGTGTTAAAGCCGAATAAAATTGTAGCTGCCAAAGGTAAGCGTAACATCGGCGCCATGGCTTCTGGGGAACGAGGGACTAATGTTACAGTAGTAACTGCTGTATCTGCTTATGAAAATACAGTACTTCCTTTATTTGTGTTTAACAGAAAACAATTTAAGAGCCACTCTCTTAATGGTGGTCCCCCTGGATGAATAGGAGCAGGCAATGCTAGTGGATGGGTTACAGATGAAGAATTCCATCAGTTTATGTAACATTTCATAAAACATGTGAAACCATCCATGGAGCACCGTGTTTTGTTAGTATGAGACAATCACTTCTCCCATTTGAATGTGGAGACACTAAATTTGGCCAAAGAAAACGGAGTTGTAATATTGTCCTTTCCACCGCATTGTAGCCACAAATTACAACCTTTGGATGTCTCAGTATTTGGACCATTCAAAAAGTATTGCGCTGCTGCTCAAGATATATGGCTACGAAACAAAAACAAAAAATTGTCGCTGATTCGTTGCCGGTTGCTCAAACAAGTATAAATATTGTCAACGGTTTCCGAAAGACTGGCATCTTTCCGTATAATGCAAATATTTTTTGTGAGGATGAGTTTTCACCATCATTTATAACTGACCGTCCAGATCCAGAAACTGTCGAGCTGGAAAAGGGTCATCCAGAGCACGCTAGAATGTCCAACACTGAACCTAATTCCACTCCTTCTGCCTCCACCAGCCAAGCTGAATCCGAACCTGGGATACGCAACAAAGAAAACGAGCTGGTCGATCTAACGGATATATTTTCCCCGGAAATTGTTCGACCATACCCAAAAGCACGGCCTAGAAAAATAACCAAAACTAACAGAAGAAAGAGGAAAACTGCTGTTCTAACAGACACCCCCGAAAAGAACGCATTACAAGAGCAACAAAATAAAGCCACTAAAAAAGCTAAAAAAACAAAGAAAAACATCGATTAAAAAAGAAAGAAGAGTGTTTCTGAAAAAGTACTCCAGTCAAGTGACGAAAGCAACGATGATGATTATTCATGTCTAATTTGTGGCGAAGGCTCCTCTGAAAGTTTACTAGGAGAAACATGGATTCAGTGTCAAGTTTGCAGGAAACGGGCACATACAAAATGTGCGCCAGGT